ATTTCGTAGCAGTCAGATTTAAACTTGCGCCTTCTTTTTTGGGGCCAGTACTATTACGTCCTTTTCTGAATACACACTAAGTGAAGGAGTAGCTCAACATAATTACGTCCTGCCCGATAAGATATATATTTTTTTAATCACGTCATCATTATTGTAATCTGAACTTTCTATTTTAATAATAAAATTCTATGACAATCTGCAATAAATAAATTGTCAAGTGTGTGATTACACAACAATTGCCAATTTAATTACTTTTTCATTATTTTTATAGCGTTATTGCATAATTTAAAATAAAAAATATTACTACTTATTTATCTAGAACACAATTTTTTTATATATCTTTTAAATTTTATTTAAAACCATTAAGCATGATTGAGTATTAATATGTAAAATTTCTAACATTCATTTCTGTAGAGTCTGACGTCCAAATATTTACAAATTTTCACATTTCAAGCATAACATTCAAATTCAATTCATTATTTCATCATAGCCCAAGCAGCATTTGGGTTTATGCATAAATTCTTAGAATTCATAAATACGACGACATTACGATTTCTTTATTGCGGATTTAGATTTAATGGGGACCTTTTTTGTATAATGATTGGACAGAATAATAGATAATGGCAGTTCGTTTTACATTAACTTTTAATTGAATTTGTAAATATTGTACCATCATTAGTTATTGAAACAATAAATAAGATAATAACAAATTCGTCTTCATCATCTCAAGCCTTTATTTTATTAACTATTTTAATATTATCAAAAGAGATTCTTTAACTGTAATTTTTGTGTATTTAAGTTTCTTTTTTTTTATAATACAAACAAGACCATCTGGTAAAAAATAGTAAATGTCGCCCATATGAACAGTACTATAGATATTATAGAATATACTATTATAACCACAGTACCCTTCATACGTTGCGAAATTGCTGAGGACTAAGTCCTTATACCTCTTTACTCTGTAATTTCACTGCCATATTCAAACTGAAACAAGCAAGTACCATGCAAGTACGGCTGCTTCAAGCAGAAACACGAGCAGGGGTTCATGCATACGACTTTTGTACAAAATCTGTCTCTGGCCATTTTATTATCAGTTTTTATATTACTTAATAAATAGAAAGGTTTTCGGACGTTATTTTTTTTAAGTTCATCACACAATATCTTTGCGAAAATAAATATTAAGTCTTTTTTTAATTATAAGTACTCTCTCATATTAACTCCATAAAATAAATCTCTTTAAATATACTAGGTTGATTTATCTTTCAACAGCATTCGAGGTTCGTATCTAGCATCTTATACAGGGTGGAAAGGGCCAAGGTTGGCTAAAACAAAAACAGCTGATTCAGATGAATGGTCTGAATTAGATGACAAATTATTTTGTCACCGGAAATGTAACACAGCTATATATATATATATATATATATATATATATATATATATATATATATATATATATATATATATATAGGTAGGATTCTAATACATGATATCTACAAGGAGTATCACATTTCTGTTTTCGTACGCTGCGGCGTTGACATTGACAGCTATGTAATTCCACGCGTCGCGGTTTTTTTTTTTGGTATTTTATGGTATTTTTAGTATTTTAAAAAAATATTATTATTTCTGTATATTATGATATGATATCATAGATTATATGAATTTAAATAAAAGCAGAATAAAACAGAAAAAAAAATTGAAAATTTTCTTACAGAATTTCCACTGGTTTTCAATTTAGAATAATAGTCTGGATTCACTGTTTTAGTTTTTGCCAACCTATCCTTTACACTCTGCATATTTTAAGGTTTCAATTTCTTTTTTATACGAAAGTACTAGTCCCAGGTGTATTTTGTTTAATCTCATACTATTAAAATTATAATATTTATAAGTATATTGGAAATAAAGTCGACTATAAAATTAACAAAACTGTTATAAATTGTGAAAAGCTTGTTCCAAGATTCTTATTGTCTATTTTTATTATAAACATTCGACCCGTAATTTTAACATTTTCAAGGGATTTTAATATGTCTAAATAAAGTCGTCTTGACGTTGACTGAATAAAAGACTTTAACAAATTAAAATAGCCAATTGTTATCTAAGCCTCAGTAAATAAAACCTGTCAAGTGTGTGTTAAATATATAATTTAAGGGTTCCGTACATAAAATAATCTACAAACAGGTTTAGTTTACTTAGGATAAAATTTTATTTAAATAATTTAAATATTAGTTAAAGGAATAAATGACTTTATCGTATTTTTATATGAAATATACTTTTTTTCATATTCAATCGACTTTAAAAAAAAACCAGCTTCTCAAATCGGTTCTACTTTTTTTTTCATTACTTCGTTGTTCATAAACAAAGTCAAAAAGATTTTATTTTCTATTGCCTACTTGCTACTTTCTATGTTACTGTGTTATTTTGACTAGAAGAACTGACTGAATCTTTAAGAGATGAGTTCAAAAGTCGTTTGCTTTGGTACCTATCTCATTTGTGTTTCTACCGTGAAGCAATTATGTTTGCATAGCTGTGTTTCGGTTTGAAGAGTGGGATATGGCAGTGAATTTACAGGATATAGAGGAATAACACCTGAGTCCTCAGGAATGGCAACGCATGGGGAGTATCATGGGCAAAATAGTATACTCTGTTATGTCCATGGTACTGCTCATGTCTATAGGTGACGGTTACCACTTTCCATCAAATGGGCCGTCAGCTTGTTTGCCATTCTAAGTCGCATAAAAAATAATAATGGCCCCATAATTTTTTAAACAAATTGGTTTAGTAGTTTAGTTCTTAAATCAAACTGGTCTAGCCACGATGAAGTTTTTTTGGAACAAAATTTTAAATTATTTTTTGTTTAATTAAGAATAATTAGATATGTACCTATACTACTCAGTGTGTACTTAATAATGATATCGAACAATTAAAGGTATGTCCCGTCAATACAAAATTCTTATTAGGATTTGTACAGCCGATAAGATAAACCCTTTGTTGTAATTTGTTGCAACACAAGTTTATTAACATTCTTATCTATTACTAATGAGGCAAAAATTATCAGTACATAGCGTTATTGGATCACACAATTTATTAGATATAAAAATGTTTTAGGTTAGAAATTTTATCTTCTAGGCCTACTTTATAAGGGATTTTTTTTACACCACTGAGGTAACAAATAAGTATACAGCCCACCTGTTACCGTAGCCTGTGAACGCCTGCAATACTAGAGGTATTATGCGTGCGTTGCTGACCCTGAAGTAACCTCTTTACCCCCCTTCATTACTTATAAGGTAGGCGTAGAATGTGGACTTTCATCCTTACATCTTTCATTTCATAAATTTTCGTAACTCGTTCCGTACGTACGCCAGGTTTTAAATACTTGACTCTTCTCTCCGGATAAAATTAAAGCCAATTCGCATAACAAATGCATCAACGAAATAGCCTCTCTCTCGGGATAGGATAGGATTGATAGGTCACATTGAAACCCTATCGGTTCAGTCATCACGTGGTCTAGACATTATTTATTTATTTATTTCTTATTGCATTCCATAATATAATTAGTAGATAACATTTCAATTATGGACCCTGTTGGGCACAGCAAGTACGAGAGTGGAGGACAACACTTTTTTCACTTTAGAAATAGTCTAAGGATCTGTTACAATATTATCCAGTCATTGAAATTGTATCACGATAGGTACGTTTTTTCTTACTATTATTATTATTCATTATTTAAGTATTTGTGTGTATTTATTCATATTGCATTATAATAATTAATTCTAGGTAAATTTATCATGATGAACCAACTAACTTGACTTCATGCTCAGCTATCATTATTCATTGAAACTTAATCAGGTAGCGCGAAGGGGTTGTTATTCCATATTCGTCCATATTTTGATATGGAACATTTACTATTTATCTGATCATAGATTAATGATGGCCTACCACGTAAGTATTGCATATCTGTTTCATCATCCCTTGGACAGTATCTTAACCGGAAAGTTATTTAATAATAATGACTTAGAGTAAGAAGATTAAGATTTAAATTTGTGATTGATTTTTTCTTTTGATATTTTTACATTAAGATTCACACTTTAAATACAGTTTTATCTACTGAGATAGCGAGGTAACATAGAAATTAAATAGATATATGATTATTATAGTATAGTCTATCTATATTAAGAAGGAGATAAGTCCTGAGTGATTGGCTCGGTATCGTTGGTAAAAATTGCTTGTTGACTAGGTGTACAAGTAACGATTGTTTATTTTATTTATACGTTTTATTATACGTATTTGTAAGAATCTTAGCATATAAGTTAATGTAAGAATACTGTGGATTAAAAATATTATAAAAAAAAATTAATAAAAGAGCTAGAAGCTTTTATCGAATTTGAATTTATTATTTTTAGGAAATGTATCTATTCCAGCTTTTGATTAATTAGAGAACGTGCATTCCCTTATTACTGTTCTATTATTATATTCATTTCGAAAATTCGAAATTCAAAAATATATGTTAAAATCAAAATATTATGGATTCTAATTATTTAAAAATGTATCCCCAAGATACTGGCAGCATTGTTTCGTTATATAGCTATGCTTATACGTTAAGTTTGAAATGGATCATCTCTCAAGTTACAAGATAAGTCAACTAGGCTTAAACTTTATAAATTTAACCGCATTAAGACCTCATGCAGCTTGTCCATCATCCTCTTGACTCTAAACAATATAAAATTATATTCTAACGGGTCTATAGTTTTGTAAATAAAAAATTAAACTGATACAAAAATATATCTTAAATAAAATACTAACCTAACTAACCATTTTTAACGGTTTTTAATAATCTGTTATTAACGGTTACTATCGTATATAAATACTTATTTAACGAATAGCTGGTTATTTAACCGGTTTTTTACAACGATTGTCTTTAATATTTTTCATATCACTTTATCTTTCATATGATATCGTAATTATAGACTTTGATAAGATCTGCGCTGTGTATCCAATTCAGTAAGCAGGTAGCTGTGAAACGTATCCATGTCAATTTGTGATCGCATGGTGTACAGATTGTGCGGGTGTTCAGTGCCTATGTTTGTATCCAAACGGTGTAACACACAAAAGAAAGAATCGGATAACTGCTTTTTACGATGGCTAGTGGAGATAACCCTATGAATAAGGCAAGTTTTTCTATGTGATTGGTAAATAATAAATAAATTATCTAAAATTTAGTACTAATATTTAAAATGAAACGATTCTCATACTTGTTAATTAAATATTATGTACTTATTATAATCGATTTATTGTAATCAGTCTATCATAAGAATAATTTTTCTTTCTACAAGTTGTGTAAAATTGATAAATTGATGATTTCAATTTCAATTTCAATTTCAAATTGTTTACTTAAAAAAAAAACAGAAATATTGGTTAGCATTTTATTTTAATATATTCAAAACAGAAATATATTTATATATATATATATATATATATATATATATATATATATATATATATATATATATATATATATATATATATAAAAAACATTCAATTGACAAAAAAGTTACTTTTGCATCGCAAAAGTGGACACAAAGAATTTTATTATCCGCCTTAGATATTAAACATTCCTAATCATATGAGTATTACAAATACAAAAGGCACAAACAAAAAAAATGTTAATCAGTCAACTACCAGCTTTTCATTTGTTTACTGTAATATCCTAAATTCTAATAAGACGAACAGATAATAAAGATAAATATAGATTCGAAAATTAACAGGAAATGGAGTACATTGTTTAAATATTCATCACGGCGTCTGAACAGACCCTCTAGTGCCTTTTAGAGGAATACGTGATACATCTATTATGGGTAAAATATTCGTTCCATATATATGACGTTTCTATGAAATTTGTAAACAAAAAAGAAGCTTTTGCATTAGTTTTGTATTATATCAGCCATTGACTGTCCACTGCTTAACATAGCCTCCCCCATAAGGGGGATTTTCACGGGAAAGGTAGGGATGGCCTATTCTATGCCGGGACCTACAAGGTGTAATATTTTGCATTAACAATACAATTTTTCTTATTTTAAAACTAGCCGTTCCACGCGTGAATTAGTATTTGAAGTATCCTACGTATTGATTTGAAGTATTTACGGTATGACTTACTTTTCGCATTTATAATATTATTAGGATAAACGCATTGAGATATTTAAGAAGGGGGTCAGGTGGGCCGTGCCCGTCTAAAAAATTCTGATGCCCACACTAGGATCTGAGCTTTAAAAAGAGATGTCTGAGTGTACATATACAAAATTTTAAGGAGCCAAGTCCGTTCTCGTAAATAATCTTAAATGTACCAATAGATAAACGGTGAGATGTTTCGTAGACAGGTTAAATTTAAATCATTTTAAATTAGTACTGAAATATATTTTTATTCAGAATTGATAACATATTTTTATTGACAAAAATAAATAAATAAAATCAAAAATAGATAGTTAGATAAATTATTTATTCACCATTATAAGCACATAGCAAATAGTGACGTAATTTTAAATAGTAAACATAACAAATAACAAACGAATCGAGATCCTCCTCTTATCGGAAGTTATTGAATAGCTTGTTATTAACAAGCTTTTACTCCACTTCATACGCCTAATCGAGATACGTTCACAGACAGGGAGAAAGAGGCATTTATCCTTTTCCATCGTTTGTAATACATATATATCATATTTCATTAATGAATGGTTTTTTTTATACAACTTAGAATGGCAAACAAGCTGATGCCCCACCTGATGGAAAGTGGTAACCGTCGCCTATAGATGTCTATAGGCGACGGTAGCATTACCATGGACATAACAGAGTATACTGTTTCGCCCATGATACCCCCCATGCGTTACCATTCCTGAGGACTCAGGTGTTATTCCTCTGTACCCAGTAAATTCACGCCATATCCCACCCTTCAAACCGAAACACAGCCATGCAAACACAACTGCTTCACGGTTGAAACACGAATGGGACAGAGGTACCCAAGCAATCGACTTTTGTACAGTCTCCCACCCAATTTTAACATTTATAATTTTACCTCTTTGCTCTCAAAGCAAATCTACGCATCGATAAATTTACTATATTCTTAAATACTGTTTAGAATATTCAAAATTCATATAAATGATGTTAATCTTTCCTTTTAATTTTTAAAAAGAGATTTTTTTATACTCACGGTTAAATTAAAAAGCAAAGTACCGTCTTAAAGACATTTTAAGTATTTATGTCGCTCTTTTATACCTATTATATAGGTACTAATTAGTATTCATTGCAATGCACGGAGGGTATCATTGGCGAAACAGTATACTCTGTTATATCCATGATACTGCTCATGTCTATAGGCGACGGTTATCACTTTCTATCAGGTGGGCCGTCAGCTTGTTTGCCATTCTAAGTTGTATAAAAAAAGTTAGTATTCATGAAAAATCTTTTATACAATTTAATTTAATTTTCATGAATATGAGTAGAATATAATGAGTAAATTTTCTTTAAATTTGACTAATGAGTTTTCTCAATTCATTTACAATCTAGATCTGTATCTAGATAACTAATACATTGAGTAAATATAATTTTTAGAAATAATATATAACCTATGAACTGGCTGATAATGTAGTTTTCTATAGACAAAATAATTTTTAAAATTTGTTGAGTATACAGTAGTAAACTTATTATAAATTAAAATAATTACAAGAAATGATTACAGTAAGAAGAAATGGGCAACCTTATCGCTAAGAGTGTTCTCTTTCAGGCAACCTTTGAATGGAGATGAGTAATTATAAACAGTTTGATCGGAGGCACGGTGAAAACTCTGTCATTTTTAAATGCATATAGATATATAACATTTGTAATAGTGTAAATATATTTAACTACTCATTTGAGTTTTCGGGTAGTTTTTGAGTTTATCCATTACAAACAAACAAACAAATCTTTCCTCTTTATACTATTAATATGGATAGTGTAGTGTATTTATTAACCATCTTTAAGAAGACGGGTCTCAGTTCTAATGATTTTTCCAGTGGCCAGTCGGAATGCTTATCAGTTTCCTAACACTGGTACTTTTTGAGTACATTAGGTTGCGAAGTCTCCATTGCTCGTATCGTATCATTAGAAGTTTAAATATTACAAATGATAAAACATTGAACCGATAAACATTAGTTTAAAAAATAAACAAGTGCGAACCAAACTCGGACTTCGAGATTCCGTATAAAATGTAAGGTAAATAAAAACAGTACTAATTGTAAGTTATAAAAATATCTGCATGTAAGAGTAATTTTTATTTATTTATGTATTCTCTCATATGTACTCATACTAGATAAACAAATATGGTACAAATAAACATATATGCAACTTTTAGGCATTGAATTAGGAGCGAAAGAGAGAGGCATCCTATTAACTACAGGAGCTTCAGAATAATATATTTTTAGAATCTTTTTTGTATGTCTGTATGTAGATAGATAGATACTCTTTATTGTTTCCTCCAAAAGATTACAATAGTAAACTTATTATAAATATAAAATAATTACAAGAAATAATCACAATGAGGAAACAATGGGCGACCTTATATATATATATATATATATAAATATATATATAGGCACGATATATATATATATATATATATATATATATATATATATATATATATAATATATATATATATATATATATATATATATATATGTATGATTTTTGAATGACAAAGTTTAGTAAATTCCTCTTAATTTATATGAATGCTAAAGCTAATAAAATACAACAGGTCGCAACTCTCAAATATTTATTACAAAAACGGACATTCTGTAACTTGTTGCAAACACTTTTACAATAAAATTAAAACCATAGATCTATTAATTTTGTTCACCCTAGACAACCATTATTTAATTCTTAGATATACCATAATACTTTTTCCCTAGTCTTAACAGACGGATGAAAATAAAGACAGAAAGAAAAAGAAATATTTTATAATTCAAGTAAACATAGATTTAAACACTTTTTAATAGTCATTTTTTTATTACCTATAAATAATCGCACAGAAATGATCATCAGTTCCGCTTAAGATTTCAATCTAGTTCAGTACCCTTAAAGCGTCATAAAACCTATTGGCATACATATGTATGTATTGTTACAATCTTATGACAGTATAGCAACTATCTTATGTTAACAATTGATATTGAAGAAAACGTAAGTATGATTAATTGTATCGTAATCAATATTCAGTATTAAAAAATCAGTTTCTATTCTTTTACATTATCTATACGATAATAATAATATATGTGATAGTATTCTATGATCGGATAGCGTATTTTAATGTATTTAGATTAAATAAAAAGTCAGTTATATTGAAGTATTCTAAGGATATTCTATAGGCGGTGATTACTACTTTCCATCAGGTGGGCCGTCAGCTTATTTGCCATTCTTCATGCCAAGTTGCAAAAAAATATACATAAAAATTACTATTTCATCAGCATATCCACTGCCGAACATAGGTTTCTCTCTTAGAGGGTTGCGCCAGTAGTTGCCACGCTTGGTAAGCGAATTAGCATCCGCAGTTAGGCTTAAAGAGGGACGATGCTGCCCATCTCTCGACCATTTTGTTCCTTTAGTCGTCTCTTACGACATCCATGGGAAAGAAAAAGGTGGCCCATTCTATGCCGGGACCACAAGGTGCATACCTACATACATGTTACTAAATATATTTTACTCTTAAAACGTTCTAGAATAAATAAAGTACACCGAAGACCAGCAATATATTTTGCAGTCGCCAAATTTGTCTATAAAACATATACTTAAATATCAAAATATTTATTTAATTTACAACTTTTTTTTTTTATTAAATCAATGCCCTGCCATTTACACTCTCTCCCCCTTTCTCTGTTTAGCATAACGGTTGACTGCTAGAGAATGCCATCAGGCATTGAGTCCACCCTGTAGACACTAAAATATAGACATTAAAATATGTTTATATTTTAATATGTGTAAAAGTATAAATAAATACTCTGAAAATGCACTGAGACAGGTCATGAGATGGCTTCAGTCGAACTTTCTTACACCTTATCGCTTTAAAACAAAAATTATCCCTTTCTTAACAGCATCTTCCAGCCATTCGCCTCATTTTCGATTCCTCCACATATTTGTTCAAATGCGA